TACTAATAGATACGAGAGATTTTCTTTTTAGCTTAGCTATTTCTCTTAGGGTATCTAGCCTTTCTAGTTTTTTCGTAGCTTACTAAGTTCTTATTCCGTTTCTTATATAAGTTAGATTATAGATTAAACTTATTTCTTAATTTTATCTAAGTCTACTTAAAGATTATACTATATAATAGCCTTAGATATTAAATAAGTTCGGTACGTAACGTCCGGATATTAGATATATTAATTCTCTAGATAAATCTTATTTTCTACCCGTTTTAATATAAAGTAGTTTTTATTAGCTTTCTTAGTAATTATTTTATACTATTATATATCTTCGTCCCTAAAGGCTTTTAGAATTACTTAATTTTAATACTATTATAGAAACTATTTCTAGGTTCGCTTCTTATAGAGGTAGCGAAGATAGTTATTATAGATATAAGTAACCTAGGAAGTCTTACTATGTTCCTCGTGGTAGGTTAAAATAAGTTAGTTATCTTCTAATTAGATTTCTACGTCTCTTCTAGGTGGGTCTCTATTATTCTTATCTATATACTTTCTATAGTAATAGATAATATAGTAAGTAATAGGGTCTTATATTATTATTAACTTATTATATAGTTCTTCTATAGTAAGGGTTTCTTTCTTACTATTCTCCTCTATAGTACTTCCTTTAATTATTACTTCTTTAGATACTATTTCTTTACTTAGTTTAGGTCTTCTTATTACTTCTAAGTATTTCTATAGTTCTACTTTTTCGTAAAGTAATAGGGGTTATTTACTAGCTATTAAGATATTTCTTTTCTTTAGATACTAATCTATACCGTCTTTTTCTAACTTATATATAAAATAGAGGTTATTAGTATAACTAGTCTATAATATAGCTATATAAGGTACTTCTTTCTTTTCTATAGTGAAGTTCCCTCGTCTTAGTACCGGGTCTTTAATCTAACTTTTCTTATTCTTATTTTTTAGGTATTCGCGTATATAGTATCCCTTTTCCTTATAGTAGAGATACTTACCTTCCTTCTTTAGTTACTCCTTTTCTTTATTAGATAGTTATTTTATCTATAAGGCGCTAAGTTCTATAGATACGGGTCCGTTATAGAATCCCTTATATAAGTAGTTTAGGGCTTTATTAAGATAGCCCTTCCTTATATCTTATTTAAGTATAGGTTAAAAGACCTTCTTCCCTCTTTTCTTATAGCGTCTCTTATATAGTTAGTTATTAATCTAGACTATAAGCTTAATATACTTCTAGAGGTTAGTAGAATAGTCTCTCTCTCTAGAGATTTCATCCTTAACATTATTATATAATCTAGTATAGAACTAGAGAATTAGGGGTTTATCATCCTATCCTAGCTAACTAGAGATTTATTAGAATTTAGAGGCGTAGTTAGACGTAGATTTTATCTAGACTATTTACTAGATCTATCTCTTAGCTATCCTTTATTTATCTATATCTCTAAAAGTTATCTTAATATATTTCTTAAATTCTTTAAAGCGTTTAAAGACCTTAGTAGTATTATTCTATTAATTCTACGGATTATTTTCTATAAAGTCCCTTAAGTAGAGCTCGAACCATGTAAGTATATCTCCCTTTAGTAGTCTAGCAGTAAATATAACTTATTCTTCTAGGTCCTAAATTTAATAGGCCTAGAGATATATTCTAATCTATATTAGGAATCCTTAGAGTTCGCTTTACTTACCTTTAAAAGGTTCTAGAATTTTTCTTTTAAAGCTCTCTTTAGCTTTTCTAAGTTTAATATTTTCTCTTTAGAGCTCCGCGACTTACTCCTCTAATTTAGTAATAAGGTATCTAACTTATTCTATAGTTAGTACTTATAGAGTAGTTTATAAAGATAAGGATTATCTATTATTTACTATTTTATATTTAAATAGATAGCGTGAATACTTACTTTAGAGTCTAAGATAAGTAATTAAACTATAATAAACCTTCCTTAATAAGGGTGCGGCTTATCTCTAAAGTAGTCCGTTCTATAGAGTATTCTAGCTTTTCTAAAGATAAAGGTACTTAGAAGGCTTAGAGAAGTATAAGTAGGTTTATAGTAAGTATTAATAGGGTATAAATAGTAACTAGCTAGTAGGCGAGTGAAGTAGTAATTATATCGGTATAAGTTTAAATTAATTACTATAGAACTATTTCTAGAGATCGGGTCTAAAGGGTCTATATAGTTCTACTAAGGTCCTCTAATTAGAATGCTTATTCTAAGTATTTAGTACGTTACTTAGAATACTAATATTCTATTTCTAATTACTAGATAGACTACTTAGAATATCTATTCTAAGTATCTATAATTAGCTCTCCCTATAGGTGTCTATCTCGGCCTTAGATTATTATCTAAGGTTACCTATTATATTATAGGCACCTCTTCTACGTGTTATACTATTTCTTATACTACTTATACTAGAGTCTACGTATTCTTCTATGGCTCTAGCTGGTAATTCATTATATATACTTTATTCTATAGTTCTACTATAAATAACTCCCTCTTAGTAAAGAAGTCTTCTTATATAATCTAATAGATAAGAATAGAGTCTTAGAGCTCTACTATTATAGTAGAATATGTTTTTAATTTTACTTTAATCTCTTATATATTCTTCTACTATATCTTTATAATCTTAATTCTAGGGTATTTCTAGTTATTAGATTATTCTATTTACTTAATATTATTAGTATTAATAATATATCTCTAGATAGAGACTATATATATCTATATTAGATATATATTAGCGTAGATAGATATACTAGAGAAGATATTATTAATTATATTTAGGTTATAGAAGATAGTCTATTAGACTATATTAGTAGTAGTAGTTAGTACTATATCTTCTAGAGTAAGTTTAGCTATAACTATATTTAACTATATTTCTTTTTATTTATTAATCTTATTAATAATATTCTTTAGAGATATCTTCTAGACCTATATAAGAGTATTCTTATTCTAGATAATAATCTATATACTATATACTTCTTCTATAGATATTCTTAGTATTTAGATTATTCTAGTTATACTATCTAATAGTACTATAACTTAGATCTATATAGTTAGATATTTTTTCTAGATAAGGTCTTTCTAGATTCTTAGTAGACTAGCCTTAATTTAGTCTAATCTTAATTCTAGACTTACCTCTAGTATTTACTTTACTCTTATAGTAAGCTTCTTAATATTCTAGACTAGACTTTAGAAGATACTAAGAAGGGTAGTCTTATCTTTCTTAATCTCTCTCTCTATATATACTATCTAGTAGTTAATTTTATCTAGGAGAGTATCCCTAGTTAGGGTTCTCTCTTTCTTCTTTATCTATAGTATTCTATATCTTTAGTTATTTATTATCTTTTAGATGGGGGTTTAATTATTCTAGGATATTCCGCTATATAGCTATTTCTACTATACTAGGGTTAGAGATATACCTAGTAGAAACTAGGGTATATTAGCGCCTAAGGCCTCTATAGTTATTAGTTAAGGGCTACCCTTAACTAATAAAAGGGAGTTAGTATATTAGTATTTAGTAGTAGTAGTCTATACTTATATCTTTAATAAGTTTTTAAGTATATATATATAGTATCTCTATATATTAGTATTACTATATTTTATATACTATATATATATATATATATATATATATATATATATTAGGGGTTATTATACTTGGTATACTCTATTAATTAATATATATATAGATCGTTATATTGCCCTAAGTTAACTAGTTTAGTCTCTTAGAGTATAAAGAAGTCTATATATTTTTTAGTATAGCTTAGTTAATATAGTAGTTATATAATCTATAGAGCTATCTCTAAGGTAATAGCTAGAAAGTAAGAGATAAGTATATATATAAGTTAATAAAAGTAAACTAAGATCTAAAGTTTATCTATATAAAGACTATTAATTATATTATAAAGACTTAATTAGATATATATAGAAATATAATAATTTTAGAATTTTAGATTTATATATAGTTAAATACTTTAGAGTAAAGTATAAAAGAAAGAAGAAGATTATTAGAATAAGTACTAGAATAGACTTAACTAGACTACTATAGTCTAGTATAGTTCTATAATAGAAGGACCTAGACTAAGTTAGCTAGAATAAGTAAGATTACTATATAAATAGATTATATATACTTAATTTCTACTCTTTAGAAATTAATCTTATTATAAGAGTAGACTATTCTTTTAAATATACTTCTAAATTCTTTTATAATCTATTAGACTACTATTCTATATCTATAATTCTTATAGAGATAGTATTATATTATATCTCTCTAGCTATATACTTTATACTATAGAGATACTTCTAGAATACTTCTCTAGTATAGATAGTATAGAAGTTCTATAGCTTCTATTTAGACTTAGAGAAGGATAGATATCTAGACTTTTATAAGCTCTTTATATATCTATTTACTTAGTTTCTTCTATAGTTTTTAAATCTACTCTAGATATCTATTCTATTAGAATATCTAATAGACTTAGAGAGCTTCTTTCTATTTATTCTAGGTCTATAATTATATAGTTAATATAAGCTTCTAAGAGTTCTACTAGTTTAGAGAGATATCTAGATTATCTCTAATCTCTTATATAATCTAGTTTAAGTCTATCTCTAGATATATATCTATAGAGTATTACTCTATCTAGTTATATAATAATAATATTATTATTATTATTATAGATATTCTATTATTATAGAAGATATCTAAAAAATATTATATTTAAAAAATATAGAGAAAGAAATAGTATAACTATAGAGCTACAAAAGTTTTTTTAATATAGATTTCTCTATATATAATAGCTTAGACTAGAGTAGATTTAGATCTATAGAGTAGTAATCTATCTAGTTAAATAATAATAATATTATTATTATTCTAGATAGATAAAGAAAGAGAGAACTAGAGAGTCTTAGGCTCTTATAAGAATAACTAGTACTTTAGCGCCTTGGCATTCTATATATAGGGACCTAAGTTTACTATGTAACGTATACCTTACCTACTGTGAATGGGACACGATATCACATCCGACCTTTTGTACTGTTATGTAGCAGCCATGATTACGTCGAAGCGGGTTGCTCTTGTTGTAGTTGCCATTCTTACGATACTTTTCTTCCTCCATAGCTTACGATCCTCCTCACCTCAGCATTCACCCTCCGATCAATTGCCTAAGTTTGTAACATCAACCCGGAGCTCAGCTTCACAACTCAAGGAAGACTTACGTGCCTCCATGGTAGAAGCGTCTCGATTTGCAACAGGGAAGGGTAGTGCGGCAGAGTCGCTCAAGTTATCTTCTCTTCAGAATCCTTTGAAGGGGCTTGGCACGAGGTCGCTCCGTGAACAGCTTGAATATCAATTTCCATACGATCCGCAATCTAACTTCCCGGCATACATTTGGCAGACATGGAAGCACGACCCGTCGGAGGTGTCCTTCGAGGAAGAATTCAGAGAGAACGAAATTAGCTGGACCCAATTGCACCCAGGCTTCGTACACGAGGTCATAACGGATGATATCGCGGTGCACTTGTTGCGCCATCTGTATGCATCCTTGCCAGATGTATTGGCTGCCTATCATGCCCTGCCACTCCCAATACTCAAGGCTGACTTCTTCCGGTACCTAATTCTACTTGCACGCGGCGGTATCTACTCTGACATTGATACTGCTGCGCTCAAGCCTGCGACGGACTGGGTTCCTGCTAAGATTCCAAGAGATTCCTTCGGTATGATCATAGGTATCGAGGCCGACCCGGATCGAGACGATTGGGCGGATTGGTACTCCCGGAGAATACAATTTTGTCAATGGACGATACAATCAAAGCCTGGTCATCCTATACTTCGTGATGTCGTAGCCAACATTACGGAAGAGACTCTTCTTCGCAGAGATCGAGGCCGGCTCTCCAGAGACCACAGAGGCATAGTCGACTTCACTGGCCCTGCGCTATGGACTGATATCATCTTCAAGTACTTCAACAATCCGAGCGTTTTCGATATGAGCACGAGCCAGGGCAGCGTAACGTGGCAACATTTCACGAGGATTACGAGCGCAAAGAAAGTTGGCGACGTAATCGTGCTACCCATTACGAGCTTCTCGCCTGGTGTAAAACAAATGGGTGCCGGAGAAGATGACGATGATATGGCATTCGTTAAGCATCACTTCGAAGGCACTGTTACCCTAAGGGATTAGTGCCTTGGCACCAACTTAGTAGACACCTCATGTACTCTAGCCTCTTCCTATAGACATCCACTAATACGATAAGAGATATGAACCCTATAGTGGTGCATCGACTGGGAAATTAAGGATTAAGTCTACTACGAGTACTTACTAACGAGTTAAAAGAGAAGAAGCCCTACGAGTCTACACGCCACACGAGTTCCGTAATATAGAAGTATTTATAAGCTAAACTAATTATACCCCTTACGGTTGGCAGCAGCTCTAAAGAGAGAGAATAGAGATAGGATATAACGAATTTTCTTTACCAGCCGTATAAGACCCCCTTAGGCACCCTAGATGCAATATCTATAGCCTAGAAGTCCTTTATAGACTAATAGATAGCACTACGTCTTCTATTAATCCTTACTATCTAACTACCTAGTTAGTTATTTACGGGCCCGGACTAGTAGAAAACTATAATTATTATACCCGGAGCATCCGCCAACCGTTTAAGGGAAGCTATAGACATGATAGAAGGACCTAGACCGCCGTTACCCGGTCTGTCTCTACCTCTTAAACAGTCCCTACTATTTCCTTTATCTTCTTTACATGATCTTCTACCTCTACCTCTATCTCTAGCCTCTATAAGCCTTACTATACTACTACCCCCGTTACTAGACCTAATTAGTTTTAACCCCCTATTATATAACTATATCCCTAAGTTAGACGACCCTTTTACGCCGGAATCACTCGATACTATTAATATTCTCGCTTAGTAAATTAAGCGTTTCTAAGTTGGCTCTAACGCTCCCTTAATATAAGAGTAGCGGAGTGTTCCCTAGCGGTAAGTCTATCTATCATTATATAACGAGGGTATACGTTCTATATCTAGACCTTCCTCCCGTTTATCTAACCGTTTAATTACGACTTAGACTAATTTTCATATCCTGGTGTTACTAAGCCTACCGCTAGTACTACTCCCTAATCTCGATAACCCGTTCCCCTAGCCTTCCTCTTTGGATAATTCTCTACGGGTAGTAAACGCTTACCCTAGGAAGTCTCGGTCGCAAATAGTAAAGATAGTAAACCCGATTTAAATTCCCACGTTTAGTGGCTCTAGACTTAATAATGTTAAGGTCTAGGCCAATATCGTAAAAGCGGCATTTAATTTCAACGACTATTTCTATATATCTAATTAGGAGAAGTCTTACTACCTTACTATAATAATAATATTAAACACGTTAGGGGACATAAAGTACTTTATAAACCGAATGACGCTAGCCTAATAGATAAACGCTAAGGCAATGCTACTCGCGCTTAAGTAGAGATTTCCCCCCGTTTCTAAAATAGAGCTTAGTCATTAAGCTATGATTAAGATTACTCGGCTTAAGTAGAACGCTATGAAACTCGAGGATTACGTCGATCGAGCGTGTAAGATCCGGCGCTTCCTTCCCATAGGGATGGATAGGCTATTTAACATGAATTTTATCCATAGGCTAAAGTCCGACCAACTTAAGGGCTAGGCGATTCCAATCGCGTGCTAAGAAGACGTAACGTTCGATACGTTAGTCAACCGTCTACTCTCTATGGCTAGAATAATAGACTTAGGGGTTACCTCCTACTTCTTTAACGAGAATAGTAAGGAGCTTAAATCGGATAGAGATATTACTATATTACTTAAGTTCTAGAACTCCCTCTAAGAGAGTAATCGGAAAGCCATAGATAAAATAACGCGGACTCTTAAGAGCTTATAGTCCATCTAAGGGCCTCCGGGGAGTTATCTATAAGGAAACCAACCGTAGGGAAACCCGCCTAGCACCCGGTCTACGTTAGCTATGGCTCCCGTGTAGATTCCGAGCATGCTAATAGTAGCGCCCTTAATATAGGCCTCCTAGCTACCTTTATAATATCGCTAACCATTCATAGATAAAGGGAGGGGTTACGCTATAAACATCCTCGACTAGTGTTTTATATATAGTCGATCTAGCTATTATACGAAGACATGTAACGGTACCCCTTTACTAGAAGACTAATAAGCTACTATTAAGTCCCGATACTACGCGAATAAGGAGTAATTTATTATAAAGCGCGTATAAATAAGCCAGCCGTAGTCTATATCGGTTACGAACGTATTAATCCGCCCCTATACTACTACGGACCCCGTTAGCCCTATTACGGTTAACGCCTAGATACCCGGTAACTACTACGTCTTAATAAGAATGCCCGAGATTAATAATATTAAGCTTAACCCATCTATAGAAGCTAACGCTCTAGGTAAGAGAAAGTAAGAATCCGGGGGTAAAGTTATCTATGGTAGCAATTCCCGCGGCGAGTCCTTTAAAGAGCCGTATAACGTACCCGCCCCTACTAGCTAGTTTACTATAAAGGTCCCCTAAGAATAGTATATCGTTAGTATAAAAGGGCGGAAGTACCTTAACGCTACTAATATACTTGCTAATTATAACGTTACGCTCTCCCTACTTAACCTTATTAATATATTAGAGTTATTCCGCCGCGAAGTAGCCCGTAACCTAGTCCTAGAACTAAACCCGCACGCCAATAGCTCGACTACCACTAACGCCTCTACTTAGGTTAGCTCCGTTAAGTTTCGTGTAAAGGAGGACTCTATATTAGTAGTTCCCGCGCTAATAATTAATATAACTAAGCCCCTTATTACTTTTAATAACGAAGCCCCTCTAGCGGTAGTAGATATATTCTACGTCCATAGGGTACTTAGTAACCCTAATAGAAGTAAGCCTCGATTTAAGATAAATAAGATCCTCTTTAATGGAGGGGCTAGAACGAATTGTATTACGAAGCGCGCCGTTAACGCGGTCGGATTACCTATCCGGAAGTTCCGTACGATTATAATAGCCGTTACGGACGGTCGGGAGACCCTGGTTACCGGCTAGACTAAGTTTAGCCTTACTATTACGGGCGTTTCCCGTTTAGTTAAGGCCTAGGTATTAGATTACTCGCCGACCTAGATAGTTCTCGTCTACTACTACTATATGGCCTAAGTCTATTATAAAGGCGACTATACTATAAATTTATATACGATTAGCGAAAGCCCGTAATCTACCGTTATCGCCCTCTAAGCTCGTGTACCTTATAAAGTCTCTAAGATACTAAGAATGTTTTACTAGACATACACGAATAACTTAGATAGGTTATAGGCTACCTAGCGCTTCGAAGTACGGCTTCTAGACGACGCTAGCACGGATTAGGTCCTCTGATAGTTAGCCGACGGTAATAATATCTTTAGGCTCCCGGTAGAAATCCTAAAAAAAGGATGTTACTAGTAGATAGCCCTAAATCTACTAGTGTAAACGTATTAGGGAGAGATAGCTCCGGCGCTTTAAGTACGGTTGGTATTAGAGCGCTAGAAGTAATATAGCCATGCTTATCTAAGAACCGTTACGCTCGGAAGGAGCGAATGAAACACGCCCTCCGTATAGGTATTAATAGCGCTATAATTCCGTTAGTGCCCCCCCCCGTCTAAGAGCTATAATAATAGTTTAGATCGAGTAAAAGAAACATAGAAGAATAACGAGTTCCATGGTAACTAAGATACTCGGTGTCTAGCTACGAAGCTAACAAATCGGAAAGAGATTTAGCGCCGAATATTTAGGGACAACTACTAGATGGTTAGTATCTCGTAGGTAACGTACGGGATCGGCGCCTATATAGGGTCGTTAAAGGGTTCTACTATAGAGATTACTAACCATAGGGATTCTACTATTATGGTATGTTCTACTATAGCTTAGGGGTTCCCTACTACGGGCGGCTCTATGTATAGCGCGAATGTTTATAAGCTTCGTATATTCATTCCTAGGAATACGGCGTAGATATAGGAAGATACATTCGGATTACCAATGCTAGGGTTTCCTATAGACCGTCGTCTAATTAGTTATAGACGACCTCTACTAACGGCTAGTACATCGAGCATGTAGCTACTAAGCCGATTCCTAAACCTTAAAGGTAACTAGGTAAAGATAGAGCGTGAAACATCGTAGTTCCGAGACCTTATCGAAACATAGAGTAACTTATTTATTACTAATGTTCGGGTAATGCCGATAATGGACTTAATTATATATTATATCCCTACGTATAGTAACATCCCTAAGGCCGCTAAGTAGGGGTTATTTATACCAAAGGAACTCGACCATCTTAAGAAGGTCCTCCCGGCATTGGACGAGACGAAAATTATCGCGCCTTACGTCTCCCTATACTCTACTTAGACTCGTCTTCCTCTAAAAGTAAGCGGAGTATTACGGATAGTTCACGCGTAGATTTAGTTAAACATAGATACGATTAAATCCAACTACCCGATTCTAAGGATAGAGCCTATCCTAGAAGGGGTTAGTAGATCTATATTAAAATGTATGTTTTAGGCGGACGTATTAAACGGGTTTTAGGCGGTTAGGCTAAACCTAAAGTACGTCTATAAGATAGTGTTCACGATACCCTTCGGGTAATTCTACTATTTACGGATAGAATAGGGGTTAACTAGAGGACCTAGGACGTATGCCAGGCTAAAGGACATTACTAATGGTATTATACCAAGCCCTAATCTAGAGCCTAGCTTAGGCGACGCGGTAAAGAATGTTTTCTTCGCCTCTTTTTTCAATGATAACGATGGCGGAGCCCCTAACTTTAAGGACCTGTTTCTCTTTCTCTATGAATATTACTTCCCCCGGCTTACCTAGGCGAAGCTTACTTTAAATCTAGAGAAATTACGCTTCTTCACAAGCGAGATTAAAGTCCTTAGTTATAGTAAAAGCTCTCTTGGCATTAGACTATAAGAATAGGGTAGTTGGATAGTAGTGTAGCTAGATGGAACAATAGGGTGTATTCTGTCATAGAACGAATTACTACCGAACCCTTTCGGTAGGAATCCGAGAGTATATATATAAAGGAACGCCGATCTATCTAGCACGTGACTGTTTACCGCCCTTCACGTCACCTCCTAACTCTATTAGCTAAGGTACGTGTAGGTCGGGTCCTACCTAAGGCTAAGTCCTAATAATTATCCCTTCCCTCTAGGAAGCTGCCCTTAGCGACCTAGATTATTATCTATCTCTATATCCCCATCCTAAGTCTCGCAAGACCTTAGTCGTTCTCTACGCTTCGTCTTAGATACTTACCGATATTCGCCGATCTAAGATTTATATAAGCGTTTTCCTAATAAACTAGATTTTATCTATCTTAACTTCTTATATAGGTAAGATTACCTAATTAGGCCTAGCGTATCACGTGATGTAATTAGGTAAGCCCGGGTGCTACCTATATTAAAATCTTTTCTTAGAAATATTCCTTTCTTTAAAAAACTTCTCAACTCTTTATAGAGTTTTTTAGATTATTAGGTATATTACCCGATCCTTATAGACATAGATTTATATAGATTTACTACTATTTAGTGCGATTTAGCGTAATTTGCTAATTTTCGTGCCGTCCTTAGCTAGCAATAATATAATTCGTAATAATCCGCATAAATCAATAATAATTATAATATGGTTTCCCGAAATCTTAACGCTCTAAAGTAATCGGCGCGGAAATAGGCGCCTTTAAATAATCCCTGTCTCGCATGCGTCACTAACATGTTAAAAGCTATTAATCTACCCCGACCTAGGCCGGGCTCTAATAATCTAGCTATATATTATTATGGTTGTTACTTTCCGTTATACATTACTCACGGCGGTGCCAAATCTATAATATACGGTACTTACATAACTAAGAAGCGTTATTACTTATAGGTATTTAAGTAAGTTCGAAG